CAGCAGCACACCTTCCCGTGTAGCTCCGTCCGAAGCTGGCCAGTATCTTCCCCATGCTGCTGCCCGACGGAGACCCTCAGGTGGCTTAGACGAGTTACGTCTGTCCCCTTCTAGAATTTCCCTTGGTGTGAGTCTGTTGATGAAGAACTCTTGTTTTTGTTTGTCTGAAATCTTTATTTTCCCTTGATTCTTGAAATACTGTATATTTATTTTCTCCAGGTTTGGAATTCTAGATTGCCAGTAATTTCTTTCAGCATATAAAGCTGTCATTCCACTGTTTTCTGGTCTCCACTGACTGTCGCGAAGTCAGCAGTGGCCTGTCACTCTTTTAAAAGTAATGCCTTTTTTTTCACCCCCCTCTGTTGCTTTAAAATTTTTCTCTTTGCCTTTGGTTTTCTGCAGTTCACTATACTATGTCTAGGGCTGGATTTTTAATTTTTCCTGTTTGTGATTTATTGGGATTCTTGCATCTATGGATTACTGTTTTATCTGTTCTAGAAAATTCTCAGCCATTATCTCTTCAAACAATACTTTTCTCATACTTGCCTTCTAAAACTTTAAAATGTATGTTTGATTTTGTCACCTTTCTCAGTTTATTTTCCAAATATTTTAACCTTTCTTCCATATTTTCCAGTTCTTTTTCTCCCCCCAAGACCTCCATGGATAAGGCGGAGTACTGTAAGCATGGATGATCTGTATCTGATACTTCCAATATGTGAAGTCTGGGTGGATCTGTCATGTGTATTTCTGCTGGCACTCACTCTTGGTACCGTGTTTTCTTGTGTATTTGGTATCTTTTACTGTATGCGCTTTGAAAAATAATTGTGTGGATCTCCCCAGACATAAGACAAAGGCGCCTTCCTCTAGGGAGGGTTTACATTTATCTCTGCCTGGTGCTCAGGGCGCTGCCAGACACTTTCAGTTCAAGCCTGGAGGTTTCACAGCCCATGATTAAGATGGAGCTTGGCCTGCAGACTCTCAGCTGCCAGTGTTTCCACGCACTCTGGGGTGGCAGCGGGCGGTGGGGTGCGGCATGCTTTCCTGGTTCTGCTCAGCACCAAGGCAACGCTGCCTACGGCCTTCGAGTTTTGAGAAGGAGGGCCAGTTCACTTCTGCTTTGCCCTTACTCTGCAGTGTTAGTCCTTTGGGGTCACAGCTTAATGTCCTGTGAGACTTCCCACTTTTTGTGGGCCCTGGATTTTGATTTTGCCTTTTTCACTCCGAGTTCTCAAAACCTTGCTTGTTTCACAGCTTAGTCTGTGTGGCTAGGTAGATGCCACCGGGAGAAAAGTGACCTTGGATGTTCTGATGACCTCTCTTGCTTTCTCTTAGATTCTGGCCTGGAGATTCTGTACTATCATGTAGTTCTTTGACGCTTCTATGAGGGTTTAAAAAATATTTATCACAGCATTTAAAAATAAACCTTTTATTTTAGAATATCTTGAGACTTACAGAAAAATTGAGCAGAGAGTACAGAAGGTTCGCATATGCCCCAGACTGTTTATAATAGCTTCCCCTATTGTAAACATTTTACAACAATATGGTACGTTTGTCACACTTCTCTATTATTATGGACCAATATGTATACGCTATTATTAGAAAGGGTCCATAGTTTATTCAGATTTCCTTCGTTTTTTTTCCTCTTTCTGTTCCAGGATCCTACCCAGCACACCATATTACATTTAGTTCACATGTCCTTAGGCTCCTCCTGGCTATGACAGTTTCTCAGATTTTCCTTGTTTCTGATGACTTTGAGAGCCTTAAGGAGTACCAGTCAGGTATTGCAGAATGTCTTCAGGTTTGTCAGATGCTTTCCCCTTTGATTAGACTGAGGTTCTATGTTTTGGGGAGTAAGACCACAGGTAAAATGCCATTCTTATCACTTCACGTTAAGGGGACGTGCTCTCAAGATGACATCACTGGGCTGAGGTAGTGTCTGCCAGCTTTCTCCACTGTGGGTTACTTTTCCCGTCTGCACTGTACGGCAGGTCACTGTGCACAGCTTAAGGAACGGAGAATTACGCTTCACCCCTTGAGGGCGAAGTATCTACACAGAATTCTGTATGGGAGATTTCTGGTTCCCCCTACCTCCTCCTCCCCACCCCCCCGCTTTATTTATATCGACATGGACTCATGGATACTTATTTTATACTTTGGATTATAATCCAGTACTACTTTGCTTCTCAGATTGCTCCAGCTTTGGCCATTCAGGGCCTTTTCCATCGGCTCCTGTGCCATCGAGCGTCGTTTCGCTTCCGAGCCCTTCCTTACTCTCTGGTGCCGCCGTGTTGTTCGGGCACATGCTATCCATTTTCTGCCCCAGCCCTAGAATCAGCCATTTCTCCAAGAACACTTGATCCCCTTTGTCAGAGAGTATTATTAGAAACCTGAAAATGGGAGCTAAGTGTGCTCATCGCTACTGGAGTAGCTTTGCTTCTCGACCCTCTCAGTTGACAGTGCTAGGAAATACACGTGTATATGCACAAAATCAGAAAGAACTTATGGACTTAGTATTGATAGGGACTTGTCTATATCAATATGAAGCTGAGCATGAGTTCCTTCTGATTTCTCCAAATGGAATTCATTCTAGCCGCCTCCGCTTCCTTATCTGTAACCTCCCACTCCCAAAGTGGGAAGCCTGGCTCCCACCATCTGCCATCTATATCATAGCATTTTCAGTTATTCTCAGCAGCCAATCATTTCTGGAAACTGTTAACTTCTCCCCGTTCATTTTTAAAACCGAATGAGACTATTATACTAACTGCTCTGCCCTTGAACATTTTACTGGGCAGACAACACATACTGGCGTCATCCTTGCTGATTCACACAGATTTACCTTGTGTCTTTTGAGGACGGCATAATATTCCATAGTATTAATGTTTAGTTTATTCAACCTCTTGCCTATTGATGGGTATTCAGGTCATTTCCAACCTTTTGATACAACAGTGCATCAGGATTATTTTTGTTTTTGTGAACGTGTGAACATTTCACCAAAATGAAGTGCTTAATCAAAGGATATAGATGTTTAAAAATCTCAGATATTGTCAAATCGCCCTCTGGAGATTGGGCCAGTTTAGTCGCACCATCGGCATGAGAATATTTCCTAATGCCAGCTACAAAGGAGAGAGATCAGTCTCAAACTCTGATCTCTGTCAATCACACATGAAGGGAATTCACTGTCATATGCATATCAAATCTATTTTCCTAACTCTAGAGAGGTGTATTGTTTTGGAATTTTTACATTTTTATGTAGTCAATTTATCACTCTTCTTCCAGGATTGTGCGTCGTGCTTTCTCCATCTTCCATGTTCTCATCGTACTTTTATGGTTTACTTTAAAAAACAAATCTCAGACAAACAGGCATCATGATCACCTCCATACCCAAGCATTACTGATGGAACAGCTCTGCCCACTCTGCCCGCCTGCCCTCCTGGAACTAATCACCATCCCATCACCTCCCCTGTGGCCAGTGTCTCTGAACTCATTATTGAACGGTTTGACACTGGTCCACCTGGAAATGAGGCGTTTACACCCAAATGTAAAGCCACCTCAGGCTTAGTTCACCTGACGCGTGTGCGTGCATTTCTCATGTAGCTGTGCACTGATTTATGCTCTAGGGCATACACCTTGGCACAGGTGGACAGCGGCCCACAGGCCAGGTAAGGGAGTAAGTATTGCACGATGCCGTTTTGCGTCTTTTGAAGTTATGCTTAGTTTCACTATGCAGGGAGATCAAGCTGTCGATACCTGCAGTTCGTTTATTTTCATTGCTGTGGAGTTCGATTTCAATATGCCTCAAAGGTACTTACCCATTTTTCCTGCTGTGGGTCACTTCGGTTGTTTCCAATACTTCTGTACACATCTTATGCTATGAGGAATTCTTTAAGGTAGGTCTGCTGGGTTGGAATAAGAGCATCTGTGTATTCACTAGATAGCAGGCCGTTCTGTGTAAGGAGGGCCCACTCCCCCATCCCTGGCATTAGAACTCTTTTGTCAGTTCGTGGACGTGAAATGGTCTCTCAGATTTTAATTTGCCAGGGAAGTTGAACATGTTTTCATATTTATAAGCCGTTCAAGTTTCCTTTCGTTTATATCATTTAGCCATTTTCCTTTAGAGGATGTACTTTCATTTTTCAAATCTTCTGATCCATTTGCAATTGGGCCAGATGACCACTGACATAACTCTACTTTTATCTACCAAACTACTACCCGTTTGATTAAAATGCCTGTTGGTATTTTCATGTTTCATTAACATATGAATCACATATTCTTCACATTAAGATGTCAGTTCTCCCCAAATTAAACTTTCCTAAGACGTTCCCAGGGATCCAGTAGGGCCCTTGTTGCTTTTGTTCCCTTAGGTGTTTTCTGTTTGTCTGATGGCCACGGCTCCAGAACCAGTGCTAAGTGGTGGGCAACAGTGGATGGTGAGTGTAATTCTGGTGTTTCAATACTTCTGACTTATTTTTCATTGTTATAAAATGAGAGTTACAAATAGTCAAGAATGGATGTTAAATTTTATCAAGTGTTATCTGTATCTGGAGAGTCGATAGGCCTTATGTTTATCAGGTTTATAGAATCAATTGATAGAATCATCTATCGTCACATTCCTGATTTTTTAAAAGTGATTAATCACTTCAGAGAATTTAGAAAGGCCCAACCCCTGGCAGATAAGCACTAAGTAACCATCACCAACAGGAATGTAGACTTTTATATTTTGTAACTGAATATTAGAAGCATCTCTCCATTGCTACATCTCCAAGCTGCTGTTTAATCATGTTAATTAGCTCCGAAAACCCCACTGATGACACTCAGCTCTCCCCATACCTTGTCACATGAACAGACCTCCTACCACTCTGTTCTCCCACCCAGAAATCCAGTCTACGAAGTTCTTGTTCCTCTTAGGCACATAAGGGTAAAACTGCTCCAGGTGCGGGGCCGGGGCCCTCGACGCACATCGCCTGCCCCTCCCACAGAGCAGTCACCACCACACCGTGAACTTATCGTAGAATAGATTTATTTTCCTGAAACCATGTCTGTGCAACGCTTGTTGCCATCAGCACAGAAATAAACAACTGCTCTATTTACAGTCTAAAGTCAAACATGCGTTGTGATAAACTGACATTTAGCATTTTATTAAGATAAATGCATCACAATATTTGTATTGCACCAACATCTGTCTACTGCTTCTGGTTTCATTAAATAAGTTACATTTAATACAGTGCAAAATAGCTGTTTGCACACTCAAAAAATAACTGGTCATGAACTGGAGGCCTACATTTTAACCATTCAACACCTGTAGTGTTTTCAATATTTATAAATAAGCAGAACTGTACAGGGCCAATTAAAAAGTAGCATGTTTCAATGACACCATAGAGAAATCTGGCTACTTACAACTGAAGGCATGCATTACAACTGAATATTGAATTTGTACATTTATATAAGCTATGACATTTTGCACAGAGAAATATGGAGACTTGGCTGATGGCTTCTAAGTTCTTGGATGAGATTTCAGAAACTCATTCTTCTTGCAGCAAAGAAACCAAAATTCTCTGGAGAGGCTTTCTGATTCATTAAGCTAAATTGTACACTTGTAATTATTTTGATTTAAAAGCTAAAAACCCCATTGGTAATACACGTTTCCTCCACATAACACACAATGAGTTGGGGACTTTTTTCTACTTATCTTTCCCCCCAACATCAATCATGCAGAGGGCTGGTAGATGTGTTGCTAAAAACGCACATGCACGCAACCGAACACCCTTACATTTCTGCAAAATGGTTTAGGAAGCGGTTACTCCAGTATTGCTGAAAAGGAAAGAAAGAGGAAAGAAATCAGCTTTACGAAATATGGGGAGGAAATGTTAGAGTAACTAAAGTTAACAGTGACAGATAAAAGGGGCTATTCAGTTTGATCTTTTAAGATTTCAAGACCAGCATTTCTGATGAACTGTCCCTGAGGCACTGCCCACACAGGGTAGCATCTAGAAGCACTAGCTTGGCTGCACAGACCTCTCACGTCATCTGGCTACAGAGCAAAGTCCCCCCACCCCCCAAGCTCACAGGAGAATCCCATCAGGCAGACACTTAATTGCTTTGGGTGTAACAGGAGAGAGACAGGAGGGAAGGACAGTTCTTCGGTTAGCAGTGCAGAGGGAAGGGAGCGGAAGCAGAAGTGAGCGGTGTGGCAGCGCCAAGCCTCTGGCGCCCTGCCCCCGCCCCTCCCCAGGGGCAGCCTCCGGGCTGCAGGCCTCGCTCTGCCCAGTCCCGGCGGGGAACTGCTGTACGCACTGCTTATCACTGCTCCCCTTCAAGAAAGAAGGCTGTAGGTGGCCCTCATTGTTCACTGCAGGGTGGTGGCTTTGACAGAATTTGGTGGTTAAATTAAAAAGGCAATGGTGGACTTGGCTTTGAGGATGCAGCAGGCTGTGGCTCTGGGCCGTGGGCGGGTGCTTGGCAGACACTGAGCAGCTCATGGCCTCATACTGCTGAGGGCTGCCTACCACACAGACCTTCGGGGGTCCAAGGCCCCAGCTGGAGGGTGAGGTGGTAGCAGCTGCTTGTGAAGGAGGCTGGCAAATGCCCTGCTTGGCTGTGGCCTCACGCAGCTCTAACAGTGCCTTATTACTAGCAAGGTACAGGTGCAGAACGAGCTGCCGGAGGTGTCCCTGGGAGGGGACGTGTGAGATTGCCATCTTCTGGGCAAAGCTGCATCAAAGAGGCTGGGTGAGCACGGGGTGGCAAGAAGACGACTTATGGGATGGGCCACAGACCCAGGGGGAAAGTGTTTCAGGCAGGAGCTGAGGAAGGCACTGCCCCATCAAGTTGCTGATGGTGGCAGAACAGACCCACAGTGCCTTCCTGCAGGTGCCGGGCGGGGGTGGGGCTGGGCAGCTGCGACTCCCTGCAGGAGGGAGGCCTGAGCCCAGGGATGCGCCCACAGCGAAACCACCGCTGAGGGGGCACTGATGCCGACATGTTTTTCAGAGGTGAAGCCTGAAGCAGAGCAGACAAGGGGACCTGCTTGAGGCAGCAGAGTGTCCTCCCCACTCCCAGCCGTCTGGGCTGAGGGAAGTGGTGCCCAAACTGCCTCCGTGGGCTGGACGGGACTGAAGCTAAGAAACCACAAGGCAACGGCCAGCCCAGGGCCATCTGAGGCTGTGCACATCTCCTAGAGCGGCCCACACCATTCAACTTATTATGTAAAGGCCGCTAAATCCAGGAACTGCGTCGGAAAGAGCTGACTATTCGGTTAGTTTGGTTTCCATTGACTAGCTCACCACCCGACAAGCTCAGACACCGTTTTGGTGTACGGCCAAGATGCACTCCTTGCATTTCGTCCACTTGGCCCATTTCTTTTTATACTTTATGATGCTAAACATTCAAACCAACCTCCCCTTCCTCTGCGACAGGCCGCGGTGAGCCAGGCAGGACCCTCCATTTAGTCAGTCTTCATGTTCCACTTCTATCTCCTCATACTCAGACCTCAGACCACAGCAGCACCTTGACCTGCTTGACACTTGTTAACTTTCCCCCAGACTCTCAGCATTCACACTGCGTCTTCTGGCTGGCCCAGTAACCAGGGCCCAGGGACCTTCACAGCAACACTCAGGCCCTCACAAGGAGGGAGGTGTGAGCCCACTGAATACAAGCTGCTGCCCAGGCCGCCTTTGCGACAGAGCTGCTAGTTTCCCGGCTGGGCAGAGCCATGCCCTAGTAACTGCTTTAACATACCCTGGAGAGAGAAGACCAAGTCTCAGCTACAAAGGATGTGACTCAGATGGTGAAAAGAGTGGCTTATTTAAGAGGACCTACAGATGCATAAGTTCATTAGTTCAGTTACTTGCTTTCACTAGCTTTTTAATGAACCAAGGTTCTGGGACAAATCCTTGCAACTAGCAAAGATCAAAAGAAACACGATTTTATGACTCATCTTAGTGCTAGCAAAGGACAGCTCCCTCAGCCTGTCAATCTGACCAACTCAACAAATGTCTCTTCCCTCAGGCCCTCCCCGACATCTGGCGATGCCAGGGTCCTAGGCAGCTAGCCTGACCATGTGTGTGCAGCCGGCACACACTGTATGCCCACTGCTCTCGGGGACAGCCACGGAGCACAGCAGTGTCTGACGCGAGGACCTTATTCACTAGTCATACAGCTAGCTCACTTGGCGGCATTCGCCTTTAGGCTAAAGCATCTGAATCCAGAGAATACTCACGTTAGTTGATGGATGTTGGAAGGCAATGGAGGAAAACACCGCAGTTAGGACTGTTAATGCCTTATACACTGTTGGTAAGACTGATCTGGAACATGCGCAAACATTTATCACACTAAAGGTGGTGGTGGTTAGTGCCACATTCAAATAAAAATAGTTCTATACAATATGTTCATTTGGTCATGTGCTATTTACAGATTTTACAAAACACATACACACACATACATACACACACACACACACACACACACACTTGCCCTTATGTTCTTTACACCAGGCTAAAACAGGCCAGCAGAAACTTGCATAAAATGTGTCACAGATGACCATTAGTGCCTATGCATTAACAAATAAAATTCCTACAACTATCTATGCAGCAGAACAGGATCCTTCTTCCCCTCAAGCACAGTCAAACCAAACATCTGAGCTAAAAACTTAAGAGAGAGCTGAATACATCTATCATAGGTCAAGCTAAGCCACTTGAGTTAAAAACAAGACAGTTATTTTCTGTCCATTTAAAAATTTTATTTTTTAGAACTAGATTGTGAAGTGCCACTGAAATAGGCAGTGTTGGCAAAACAATGTCTGTTACAGTAAAATACACTACACATTTAAATAAATAACCTTAAAAACTGCGTGAGGGGACATGAACCCAGTCAATTGAATCTGGAACAATGTTTTCTGCACAAGCGAGAACAGGCATACCTCTTAAGACTGATGTAAACAGAACCATCGAAATCCTACAGGAGAAGCAGCTGAGCGGGGCCGGGAGTGGGGGGTGGGGGTGGGGTGGAGGTGAACGGAGTGGGTGAGGGAGTGGCAAACCAAAAAATACTGACTGAGGTAGCAGTACTCTGCCCAGTGCAGAAAAATTGGCTTATGAATAAAAATTAGACTGTGATCTCAGATTAAATCCAGATGATCATGCAAAAGACAAAATCCATGCTATTTTGTTTGAGAAAAAAACCACACACATTCATTTCCTAAAATCTGCTGCCAATTAATTTGCTGACAATGTCTGCTGGCTCAACTTTTTTTTTTATACAAGGATGAGTATTAAACAGAACACTGTACATGCTTTTTCATCTACAAAAAAATATTTGCATAAAATAGTGTTAGTTCTCTGTACATGTCAATGGACACTTTAATTATGTGTATAAAAAAGGAAAATCTTGCCCCACTGGAGTCAGAAAAAGCAAAACAAAACCTAGAGTATGAAATCTCCATCACCAGCGAATATGCTCATGTGAAATTCAGCAGAAATAGACAGTTGCTTTAAACAATAAAAAATTAATTGATTAAGTTAAACATCTTCTTTATGTAAAACTGTCAGTCAAGACCAGAACATATCACTAAAGTTAGTGTCTGTGCTATATACCCAGATCACCAGGGGCATTATGAGCAGCACGAACGGCCAGGAAACCCCATCGGTGCATGCCGAGAACGAGCAGGCTTTGGTGGCGGGCTGCACACACTCTTTACCAGGTTCCAGGTAGTTGCGGGCCACAAACTTGAGCGTCTCGTCCATTAGAATCACAGGCAAGGAGATTTTCAGCACCATCAGCCACTGGGTCAAATTCAGCGGAGTTATCTGGAAGATAAGCTGAAACACAGACAAGCCTCGTCAAGCTCCCAGACTCAGACAGGCAGCCGGGCCCCTGCCCAGGTCCCACCACCACTTACTGGCAAGGGTTCGACGTAGAGGATGAGGAAGTGGAGCGACATGGACAGGCAGATGGAGCCCACGAGCCAGATATTCTCCCAAGGGGGCATCCTCAGCAGGGACTGGTTTTCAGACAAGCTGCAGAACAAGAAGAAATACAGGAAATAGGCCCACCAAAAAGGCAAAGGCAGGTATCACAAATGACAGTTTTGAACTGCGTTTCAGTAAGGCGGCAGCTAACTTGGCACTGCCCACTGACCTTTTCTACTGACTAAACTTTATACTGCGGCAAAGTTAAGGAAGAACGTTCAGATGTAGGACAAACTTCCAATTTTAAATCTAGGCTTCGGCACAGCAAATTCCATTTCATTGGGTTCAAAACTGCTCAATTGCCCTTGACATTTAGGCTATTTCAAAATTTCCATTTTTGTCACTGGCTTAATTGGATGATACCACTTGTGTCAATGCTAA